TGATTGATTGATTATCAAAAAAACAACCCAAGATAAGAACATGAGATTCTCAAACCAAACATCTTTCCCCTCTCCTCCCTTGAGCTTCTCTCTCTGAAGACCACAAACAAAACATGGGAGTAGGGACAACTCTGTTTGACTCCAATGTGGCCTGAAATGTATTCTTGAAGGGTCACTTTTTCAGACTTATTTAGTCTATTGAAAATGCAAACAGAAAAGTCTGTAAAGGAGAGCCTTACTATTGAGGGTCCAAGGTAAGACACGATTTAAGTGAGCAAATGGAACAGGAACAAGTTAAACAGGATTAGGTTAGGCCAACTCTCTCAATTAGTGTTAGAGAATGTGGCAAAGGCAAAACTGCAATGATAGTGACACAATCAGTATGCCAACTGTTGCATGATGACATTATTGCTATTTTTTTCCAACTTTATATAAATATTTACCTTTAAAAAGGTTATAATTAGTTACACTGGGGCTATGACTGGAGTTCAGAATGCTCAGATGCTGAACTATGAACATGACAGAATTCAGTTTTAACCTGCTTGATCTCAAGTTTTTGAAATGCTTCTTGTTCAGGGTTAATCTGCACCACACTACACAGAGCTAACAAAACAAATAAAGCTATTCACTTCATCTCCTAGCAGGCATTTCCTCTGGAGGGGTCAGAGGGATGCATAAACATATACAGCAGGTCCTCTCAAAGAGACATGTGTAGGAGACGGCTGTCAGAGGGTCTGCTGTTTCCATCTTGAGCTGTGGGAATGTTTTTAACATCCTAATCTTATAGGCGCCTTGCTACTACATGTGTGTGTATTGTGTGCGACATTGTGGGGGCACAGATGATGTGCCATTTCTTCAACTTGAGGTAGCAGGATAGAAAAGGAGAGCTTCCAGAGACATGGCAGTGTTGACGGATGGGGAAACTGATATTCCTGAGTACGACGTTTATGCAAAGCCACCAACTACATCCGCTGACAATCATCCATCAAACTGAGGCTGCTTAATAAGTTTGCGTTCCACCATTTTTCAAAGCAAGTCTGCTGACGGTAGCCTTCGCACTGAACCGACTTGAAGAAACGGGAGGGTTTAGCTGGGCCTTCGAATGGATGGACAGGCCATTAGACTCGCAACAGCTACTGTTTATTCTGGAGTGGCTGGCCGCCTCCGGCTGTGTGTATGCACGAGTGCGAGTGTGTATGAATGATGACAGGAAAAGAAGAGAGGTAATTGGGAGAGAGACTGGGAATATTAAAAGGAACCGCCACCATTACTTATAATGGAAAAACCCATATGAAAGAGTGGCTTACCCTCTCTTTGTGGTTGGACTGTTTAAGTCCATTGTAGTGGTAGATGGGAAATGAGTCTGGGATTCCTGAATCCTGAAACAAAGAGTAAAAAACATGCTTGGTTGTCAAAAAGAGGCTCTAAGCAGACTGTTCTCACAGACATGGAGGTGAAGACTGGCAGGGGCATAACATTCATAAACCAAAAGGTCAAACAGTCACATCTCTTGCCTGCAATAGGATTTATAGTAAATCCCATGTGTTAAACCTAAATGTGTGTTTATCGGTACGCTGTGAAGCTCAACTCCAGTAACTACAAAAGCTTAAAACAATGACTACAAGCAAAGACACTTCCCATGAAATTGGCTTGAAGGTGCAGAGAGGACTTACAGGGGTGTGTTGTCCAGCTTCTCGTGTTTGTATGCCTACATATGAAACCCTAACCCTTGCAACAATCCCATGTGTGTCTGAGTGTGTGTGGGTCCAGTTGGCTAATGGTAGTGTAATTTCTTTGCGGCTCCGAACCATTCCTCTGGTGATTCCCTAAAGCCCTGATCACTTTAACACAGTTCCCCTCCATCTCTTCTCCTCCGTCTTCTTTACCAGTTCTGCCTCATAAAAGCATCTTACTGCGTTTTCTGAGCTCCTCAAAAAGTAATCTCAGATGATTGTGAACACACACACGTTTCATATGAGACGCCACAGGAATGTTTTAAGCCCAGAAAGATTTGTTAAAGCAGCACTATGCTTACGCTTGGCAACAAGAACCTTTGTGCCATCCATGTGTGCACAGTCTGTCCAAAAGTAGTAAACCTCCTGGAGCTTTTTCACATTTGCTTACATTCAGATACTAAACGTCAATGTATTTTATTGTGATTTTAATTTTCAAATAAAACAGCATGTAATCAAACTGGTGCATCATTGTAAAATCTAAGAAAAGTTGTATATGTTTTTTTTTAAAAAGTATAACTCTTAAGTGGCCAGACTTCATATATTTTTATTGCATTTCTATTAAGCTCCATCTATTATAACATTTAGTTCAACAAAGTAGAACTCTTCTAATTAGTAAATACAGTCAACCTCTGTTTAATCTGATAGGGGAGGCAGGGGAACATTAGATGGAGCCAAAAACTGATTAAAAAGCTCTAATCAGATGAAACCAAAATGCAACTCTTAGATCCACATGCAAAGTTTTGTCTGTAGTGGAAAACTATAACTATGCATATGCAAACTGAGGTTTATGTGCGCAAGTCACAATTATCATTTGACTACAAAAAAATAATTAAAAATGTATGCTTCTTTCCATTCATTTATTGATATATTAGCTATTTATATTTATGCATTTTAATATAATAGATGCACGTGATTAACAGGGTCTTAAATTCAGTTCATCACAAACACATTATTCCAATGGGCAAATACTTTTGAGGGACACTTTTCTTCAGCAGGAACAGGAAAGCTGGTCAAATGAATAAAGCCTCTTAAAAATCAATAAAAACATATCCATGTTGGCCCAGTCAAAGTCCAGACCTAAATTCAAAGAGGAATCTGTGGCAGGACTTCAAAATTCAACCTTCTAATCTGACTAAGTTTGCACAGGTGTGCATGTATCATGACGCTTTAAAAGTATTAACTAACTGTGTCCTCAAGCATCCTTTTCCCTCTACATAACCAATTTACAATAAAGCACAGCGACGTTTGTGGTTCTAACTTGAAACGTGTCAAAAAGTTTTAAAAAAAGAGAAAGAAAGAAAAGCTCCTTGGCAACGGGCTGTAAACGCAGACCTCTCTCTCAATATGTTTTAGCCATGATATGGATCATGTGATATGTGGAAGGCATGCGTCATGCACTGTATCTTTTGAAGTGAAAGTTGATTTCCAGACACTCTCTCACACACACATACCTGATCTGGGAAAAACTCCAAGAGAAAAGGGCCCAGAAGAATTATGCCCAAGCTCTCTGGATCAAGCTTACTCTTCACCAGGCTGACGCTGAGAAGGCACAGACATGGAGGACAGAGACGTGAAATCAACAAAAACTCAGCAGACAAAACAGAACCAGAAAAATGAAACAACAAGCATATAAAAAAAAGAGGAGGAGGGAGTGGGAAGAATGCATCAGTGCAGCACAAAATAACAAGCTTTGTGTATGACAAGTGAGCCAAACTTAGAATCACCTCATCACTCAGTGTGGATTTGAGATGCATGTTTTGGTCAGTGCGCGCCTGTTTTTCACAAATACTGCGGTACAACTAAATATACCTCTTTCCAGACATTCCTGTGTTGGATCAGTGTTATTATTACTCCACTACGATAAAAAAATTGAACAGATTGTCCTTTTAAGGGAGAAAAGAGGGAAGAGAGTGTTTTACTCAGACACACACGGAAGAGAGATCATTCCTCAAACTGCTGCCGAAACTGCTACAGAGCAACGGAGCCTCTTAAATCTTCACACTCTGTTATGTAATTGAATGACAATAATTTAGCATTATTTTAACAATAATAATAATAAAAAACCACAAGAATTATAATATCCGTTTATTTAAAAAAACATGGTTGTGAAAAGTTTGAGAAGAAGTATTTGTAGTCAATTTGTGTTATATATATATATATATATATATATATATATATATATATATATATATACACACACACACACACACAAAAAAAAAAAAAAAAAAAAAACTA